GAACTAGCAGTTTGAATTGGTGCAGGAATTGAGCAGGAGACAGTTCCTGACCTCAGACTCAGGGCTCCAGTCACTGATGCTCAGTCCTCTGCCACCTGCCATTCCTCAGCTTGGATTAAACGCTGAACCTTCACCATTGGAGGGAGATTTTACTTCTGTGACTCCAACATCCGAAGTCTTTTCCAGACTTGTTCTGATTTGCTACGAGCCCAGTAAAGATCGAGTCTTCTCTAGTTCGTTTGACAGAAGTGGAATCCTATCGCTACCAACACAGCCATGTGGATGAGACCTGGGCTGACAGACTGACGTATTAACAGCAAGGTCTAGAAAACCACTGGGACTAGCCCTCACTTGATTCACTTGGCTCACAGAGAGCAGAACCTTGAACACACTCAAGGTTTCTAGAGGGTGTGCACCCAGGCGGCGTGACATACCTTTTGGAAGCGAAGAGGTTGAGTGTGTATCTTGGCTTTGACAACGCGTTATTGGAATCGCCTTTTGCCAGTGGGAAGATGCATCCGCACGTCAAGGTTACTGCGCTTCTGTGTACAGCTCTGCCTTGTGCTGGCGTCCGAGGGCCACGCTGAAGCAGGGTGCAAGCCCCAGATCCATCAAGACAGCTTCCTCCTCCCTGCCTCTTGCTCTCCCTCCAAGCTACCCCCAGCCAGTCTAGTCTGTAGGCAAACCACACAGGAACTAGCAGACACCCAGCTGCAGAGAGTTGGGTGTGAGCCTTCGACTATGTGGTTTTGTTTTCTTGCTGCTCAAGTCACACACCAAGACGCAAGAGGTTCACCGAAACGCGCGTCTGCTCCTTTAGGTTTCGGTTTTAACAAGACCCGCCTGCCCCCAACGCTCATATTCACATGAGATAACTTCTGATCTTGGATATGGCCCGTTAGCAAGCTGCTGCTGGCTTCAAGGGAAGCCCTAGCTTCACATTCCCTCCATCCAGAGAAACACAAAGGCCGCTGGGAAAAAGTCAAAGTCATCCTGATCAATCGCAGTGTTGAAACCTCAGAGAAATCGCTTGCTTAGTGTATCCAGTCCATCACCCAACTCTTAGCTTGTGATAAAAAATCTTGACCCAAGAAAGAAGAAACGGGGAGGGAGACTCTCAGAGCCAGGAGTTCTGTTAGCCACGCGCACTAACCAACTGAGTTAACCAGCCAGTGAGCTGGGGGTTCTAAGCCCAGGTTTGCCACTATCATGAGCAAGGATCTTTCCTTAGACCCATGGGACTTCACATTCTCTTGAGCAAGATGGACCCAAGGCTACCAAAGGCTTAGGATTCATCATCTCCCTCAGCTTTCCTAGTTCTGGTCTTCGCCGTTCTAACCTGCCCTGCCCCCCAATGCCACCTGCAGCCTGTGCCCACAGCGTCTTCCTCTCTCTTTGTTCTCGTACCTTCTGCGTAAAAATGAGACATATTTCAACTGGCTGAGCAACACCTTTAGAGTCTGGAGGCTGGGCCCAAGGTGAAGAGGGAAATATTGGGATTTCGCTGGCATTAATCCTTGGGGAGTTTTCTCTATTTGAAGTTCTAAAATTTTAACTTACTCTCCATTTCTGCCTCTGAGATTTACTTTTTAACCTTTTTCTCATTATAATTGCTCACTTTTTTTTATTTTGAGACAGGTTTTGTTATGTAATGTAGCCCAGGGTATACCTGGAATTCTCCAACTTCTTGCCATAGCCTCAAGATGGGTCCAGCCTGCTCAAGTGCTGGGCCTATAGATGTGTATTACCATAACTGCTCACTTAAGCACTTTAATTGAAATAGGAAAGAAGCCTGGTATAGCGTTGGCAAGCTACCTTGGTCATAGTAGGTGCTCAGTAAATATTCATCAAATGAGCTAGAAGAAGTAATTTGTTGCCCCCAACTCTCTAGTAAAGGGATTTTAAGAAGATTTTATTTTAGTTTGAATTATGTGCATATGTGTGTAGGTATGTGCATATGAATGTAGTGCCCATGGAGACCAGAAGAGTGCTGGGTCTCCTGAAGCTGGGGTAACAAGGCCATAGGAAGCTGCCAGACATGGTTCTCTGCAAAAGCGGTTCGTGGTCTTCCCTATGGGGTCATTTCTCCAGCCCCTTTTCTTATTAATAAAGTCTGTACAATTTTCTTAAAACTAAGTTGATTGTGAACAGGATACTCATTATTTTCAAATTACAAAGAATTTTAAAGGGACCACGTCTCTGATTTTACAACAGTTAACACTGGCTTCAGGGTCCCGCCTTTGTGATCTGAGGACCTTCTTGGGTCCCATCATTACATTAAACAGCTCCGTTGCCGAGTTTCTGAGCTCTGAGAGCTTCTGGCCAGCATCCTTCTCAGCGGGAGTTCCCAAGGCAACAGCATGTTTCAGGTTAACCACACTTGCATGGCTGGGGTGTGAGTCGGAAGGGAAAATGGCGGATGGTTCTATCCAGAACCTCTCAGGGAGCTTTCAACATGCACCCTAACGTGGAAGCTACTTTCCCACGGGGTACTGTTCCCCAGGGAACAGAATCCCTCCCCTTCCAAATAAAGAGCGGAGTGCAGAGCTGAAGAAGCTCAAAGAGAATTCATTTTGCTAGCAAGTTCTGGCTGACTGGCAGGCATGATAGCACACAGGTTGGGGATGAAGCCACTTCAGTGGTTTACTTCACGACAGCTCTGTGACTGAAGGAGGACCAAGTCACAGCTTAGGAATAATGACCCTGATGTGAGGACATCTGCATTTCAGCCTTCGCCATCAGGAGCTACTAAAAAAAAAGCAAGTCATTGGGAGGATTCAGGAATGTGTGAAATCCCACTTATCCTCAATGGAGAAAATTTCCTTAAAAACCACACTTGCTTAAAAAAAATCCAGCAACTCCTTTTGAAGGGTCATTTTTCATAACAGGGTTTATATGCAATTGTGCTTCATTTCATTTTTGAGTAAAATACGTACTTCTGATTCAGCAGAGTGCATTCAGATATTCAGTCACTCAATCGAGTGTGGACACCTCCTCCATGCATGGCTCTAGGGACAGGTTAGGAATGTCCTGTAGGCGAACATAACGCAGCCCTACCTTGCTGGACACTACGTTCTGATAAAAGCAGAAACAAGGCCACACACTGAGGAAGAGCTCCAAGGTGGAGATCTGGGGTAATAAGGACCCACAGCTGTGAAGCCTCAGGAGGAGAATGAACTTGCCACATTGAGTGAGGCAGAGGAGCAGGTTCATAGGTCAAAGAGGGCAGAACACCAGGTAGAAGGAGCCTGGCTGGCTGTGGCTACACCTTGAGACTTTATTCTGAGTCTCAATGGGAGCCGGTGGGAGACTCTGACCTGAGTGTAAGGTGAGCTGCCTTGAGTTTGACATTACTCAAGGATTCCCTGTGACTGTCCTGTGAACACTGTCCTCTGAGCCTCACAGCCATGGCCATCTTCACCAGGGCAGCTGTGATCACAGGCAAGCAGTCCTCAAAACCTAGCTTACTGGTGTTTCTTCACAGCATTAATGAGGGGCAGGGGACGGCCCTTAGATGGGTCTAGTCGCTCCTTCCTGCACCCTTCCCCTGAGCTGTCTGGATCGCTGCCCCCAGCTGCACGTGGTCTCAGAAGATGAGAGCTTAACCAGAGGGGGAAATCCATCTGTGCAGCTATGGGGGAAGTCATGGTGACTGTTTCAGGGGATGGGGTGAAGGGATGGGGGTGTGTGGTCATATTTCTGTCAGGAACCCCTCACTCATGGGCCTGTAAGTCAGCGATTCTCAACTGTGGATTGCAACCCCTTTGGGGTGTCAAATAGCCCTTTCACAGGGGTCACCTAAGACCATCGGGGAAACACAGATGTTTACACTGTGATTCATAACAGTAGCAAAATTACAGCTATGAGGTAGCAATGAAAATAATTTCATGGTTGGGGGTGACCACAACATGGGCCGCAGCATTGGGAAGGTTGCGAACTACTGCTATAAGCAAACCCCGTGAACTCACAGGTTCACTAAGCTCAACTTGGGCAGAATATTTATTTTGGTCTGTTGTTGGCCCCCATGTGGGATAACAGATATTTATATGTTTCCAGGAAAGGCTTATATAACAAACACTATACTGTAAGGCAGGGGTTCTCAACCTTCCTAATGTTGCGGCCCTTTAACACAGTTCTTCACGTGGTGACCCCTAACCATAAAATTATTTTTATTGCTATTTCATAACTATAATTTTGCTACTGTAATGAATTGCAATGGAAATATTTTTAGAGATATAGGTTTGCCAAAGGGGTTATGGCCCACAGGTTGAGAACCACTTCTGTAAGAGAAGAGGAGGAGGAGGCTGCCAGCATTGCCCAGGATGTTGCTGTAGCAGTCCAGGTGGAAGTGACGGTGGCTTTAGTGGCGTAGAGGGGTCAGGGGACCGCTGGACTCAGCACACAGAGAGTGATGATCAAGTTGAGCAACAGACAGGTGTGTGGCTGTAATCCCAATACTCGGGAGCCCAAGGCAGAAGGATTGCCATGAGCTTAAGGAGAGTTTAAGGTACGTTGTAAGGCTTGGTTCCCAGAACCCACGTGGTGGCTCACAACTGTCTAGAACTCCAGCTACAAGGGATTCAATTCCTTCTTCGACCTCCTTGGGCACCGGGCACACTTTGGTGCATAGACGTACATGCAGGCGAAGCACTCAGTGGTGAGGCTTCTTAAAAGCATCTTACTGCACTGTGTTCACTTTTTTTTTTTTTTAATACAATGCCTGTTTGATGGCAGGAAGTGAGAGGAGCAGGCATTGTGGAGCAGCCTAAGGGGAGCAGGCACTGTAAAGCAGATTTTGGATACCTTGTGGGTTACTTGAACAAAGCACAGCCATGAATCAACAATCCAACTGATAGCCATTTCGTGACTCATAGAGAGGTAGTTCATACATACATTTCAGGTCCCAGGTAGAATGGAATGGGATGTCCAGAGCATTATGCTATCAAAGTGGCATTGAATTTAAACTTTATGATTTTTTTTTGTTGGAATTATCCACTTACTATTTCTAGGCTAGAGTTGATTGTAGGTAACTGAGAGTGAATTTGGAGCTGTGGTGAAGGAAGTACTGTATTTCTGTCTCAGGGCCTTCTTCATTTATTCTCAGAATTCCCACAGCATTCTGTCCTTTCAGGTCTTCTGAACACATGCAGAAGAAATTCACTCTAGAAAAAGAGAACTGAGTAGTTTTTAAAAATTTCAATCTCAGCCGGGCGGCGGTGGTGGCACATGCCTTTAATCCCAGCACTCGGGAGGCCGAGGCAGGAGAATCTCTGAGTCTGAGGCCAGCCTGGTCTACAGAGCGAGTTCCAGGAAAGCTAAGGCTACACAGAGAAACCCTGTCTTGGACCCTCCCTGCCAAATTGCAATTTTTGGCCTCACAGTCCAGCAAGTAGAATGGTGAGTGAAAATCTCAATAGAACTCACAATCAAGGAAGGAAGATTCTCCTAGATTGGGGGGAGTGAGGACAGAGCTGGACACCAGTGATTAGTGGGGAGGGTCCAGTTAAAGCAGTGGGTATCCTAAACAGTCCGTATCACCCATGTGCTCCTACAAGCTCTCCTCCTCCAGGAAGTCTTTTCTCTGCTCCCATTGCACTCTACGGCTGCCTTTGTCATGGCAACCTTTTATGCTGGTGCCTTTGCTCAGACTACGATTTCCCTGCATTCGTAGCACAGTGACTAGCCCACAGCAGATTCTTAATGAGAGTGAATGCAGTTCCTCGTACGTAAAGTAGGATGATAATGACCCATTTTAGCAGATCTTTGGAATGCACATAAGATGTATGTAAATTATAATGTAATGTATAAGGTTCTCATTTATTCCCTCAACTACTTCATTGAATACAATCTAAATATCTTCGAATGACGTTCAAGGCCCCAGACAATCTGTTTTCCAGGCTGCTGCTGGCTACGCTTTAATTATATTATTTCCAGTTAAGTAATATTTCAAACACACCAACTTCTTTCCGACCTCTCAGGATTTTATATTTTACTTCCTTATCAACATGTCAGTATCAATAATGTTGGCTGTTACAGTTGAAGCTGTGGAGGGTAAAAATAATCAAAGCTCACTTTTTACTACAAAGTATTTTTCCTACCCTCTGAGTCTTTCCATCCTCGTCAAAACTTCATTCAGTTACCAACGTGTTTTAAAACATGAACTCAATTATACTGTCAGTGTCCGTAGGGAGGAGACTCTTTGGGACTTGCCTGTCACTCTCTTCCTCCACTGTTGTCCCACTAATAGCTTTTTCTACGGTCACGGTGACTAGAGGACTTGTAGTTTTACTGAGATAATAGGTGCTCGAGGCTTTTGTGTCTTTATACACGATCCATCCTTTGTCTCTGAGGCCCTTCTTTTTTGTCTACCCTGTGAACTCCCTGTCATCCTTCACGATTTAATTCAGATGTAAAGTGTTCCGTGAAATCTGCCCTTAAATACACCTTGGCAGAATTAGATGCTCTCTCCTCTCTCATTATGCGATACATATCTTGTCACAGTCTTCGATGACTGCGCCTGTCACCTCCACTAACCTGTACACTCACGCAGCAGAGGCTTATTCTTTATCTCTGGGTCCATCCTGCCTTGGTACAAAGCGTGGGCTCACTGCTGATGGGCTAAATATATCAAAGACTAGCCCTCGGTGAGACCTGGAGCTGTCCTTGGAGCGACTTCATCGCTGACCATTAGCTACACTGCTTCCCACCTCTAGGCTATTAGCCGTTTGAACGACGTCTGAGGTGGCAGTTGGTGCTTGTGGGATGGCGTTTCTGGTCCATTTGCAACAGTAACACAAATTGTAAAAGCCTAGAAAGCAAAATCAGAACAGTGCCAGTGACGGAGACTGTACCACAAGGACGTTTGCCTTCGATCTCTTTGATCCTCTCCCGCCAGGATGAATGAACCGGCTGGAGACACCTGGCTAGGGGCTCGGCAAGTGGTGGGCACTCAGGGGCCGGAAGTGGGGAAGCGGAAGCAAGGAAGCGGAAGTGGGCAACGGCGTGGGCGCGCTTGGGTCTCCTTGAGGAGGGGCCGAAGAGCGTGGGGTTTGATTTTGATGGGGAAGGGCTCCCCAGGTAGGTAGACTGAGGGGCCTGCTGGATAGTAACCTCTAGTGTGGGTCCGAGAGTGGACGGAGGGAAGCCCGAGGTCTTCCCGCCTGACTTTCCTGTCGCCCCCATTCAGCCTAGGGCCCGGGACAGGCAGGCCGCTACCGGATGCCGTGTGGCCCCTCCCACCTTCCAGAAATTTCCTCCGCGAAGTTCCCCGCCTGAGGAATCTCTGTCCATTTTTGTGCAGTCGTCAGGCGGGGTCTCTTGTGTGACGCAGTGACCTGACTCACTGCTCTGAACCCCCAATTGAAAAAACCAAAATGGGGTGCCAGGAAAGACCCTGTCCAGTGGAAGTTGACTCCCTTGGACTCTACCTCAGGCTCCGTTTTTCAGAATTCTCTCCAAATCCTTGCCCGCCTTCCTCTCCACAACCCTATGCGGTGTTGTTCTTGACGCTGTAAATGAGGGAAAGAGACTCAGAGATGTCATTGGTTGGGGAATGGACCTCAAATCCGCGCCGTTGGATCTTAAATGTCCCCGGGCAACCAATGTCAGAGCTGTGGTGAAGCCATTTCTCTCGGGAGGGTAGGGTGGGGACTGTGCCTTGTGCATCTGTTTCCCTCACCCGCTCCGTGCCTAGGATGGAGGTTGCCATGTAATAAGCTTTGGGGAAAATCACCGAACAGAGAGAAATGGTTCACCAAGTTTCTCTGCCTCTTTCAGTGTGGAGTTCTCGCCACCCAAACAGTAACCCTTTTTAACGCCACGGTATTCTCTGTAATGGTTTGATTCCCAATACTGGCCAGAACCGATTTCCTCCCGAGCCAAACTCAAGTCTCTAGGCAGAACCCGAACAGACAAGAAGTGTGCTTTCTTGCTAGACCTGTCTCAACTGTCTTTCCAGAGATGCCATTGGGTGCAGAGTCTCTTAAATGTCATTGTTATTATTGTCCTAAGACTTTGGGTAGTTCCTCTAGGGTTTTTTTTTTTTTTTAAAGATTTATTTTCTTTTTATTTTATGTGTATGGGTGTTTTGTCTGCATGGACATGTGCAGTGACTGCAGAAGCCAGAAGAGGTGTTGGATCCCTTGGAACTGGAGTAACAGATAGTGTCAGCCACCATATGAGTGCTGGGAACTCATGGTCCTTCTGAAAGAGCAGTCAGTGCTGTTAACTACTGAACCATCTCTCCAGCCCCTCCCTCTAGTTCTTCAGTCCTTTATTTTCGATTGTGAAATCTGAAGTTTCGAAGAACAGTTTCCCCTTTTCACTTAGTAGTGAAATCTGAACTGAAATGAGGCCACTTATAACCTCTATGCCAAATATCTACAAGCTTTTGTGGCAAAAATGTTGGTGGGGTTTGTTGCTCAGAGTATTCCTACCCCTCACTGTGTGTGTTCTGTAATGGACGGTACAGGCACTGCAGTACCTGTTGACACCACAGCAGAACTCCACGGTTGAACTGGCATCCAGGAAATTGTATGGGATTGTGGATCACTAGTCTAACATCACCTGATAAATGCTTTCCTGTCACCATTCTGACAAAATGGCAGGGAAGGAACAATGTTGGGGAAGTGTGCAGATCCAAAAAGAAAACCAGGAGACTTCCAGGCCAGGCGCGCGCGTGCGCGCGCGCACACACACACACACACACACACACACACACACACACACACTCACGAGAGGGAGAGTGACAGATTTGACTTCATCATGTGTTTGCTTCAGAAATGTTTAATCAAGAAAGTTTCTTAGCTAAACAGGAAGCTTTTGACCATAGGGAACATGATTTACATTTCTTCACAAAACCGGATAAGTGGTTCTCAAGAGATACTTGCTGATTGCACCGAAAATATTTGCTCAAATTCTAGGCTTTTACATACATGACAATTACAGGAGCTAGATTTTTTTTTTTAATGTCATGTTTGAAATAGAAAGTTGTGGAATCATTTCCAGGTTATCCCAAAGAAGGATTATGCAGTCATTTGGTTGTCCACCCCTCACGTGTGTCCAAGGTCCCCACCATGGCTCGGTATTCCTTAGGTATAGGGTTACAGTGGTTAGACAGGCAGATCAAGGTCTCTGCCCTCTGGGAGCTTCTAGTCTGGTGCTATTTGCTACAACCAAACAACAAGTAGTTAAGTACATATTATTTTAAATGTCACGAAAGAAATCTAAGTGCCAAGAAGGAAATCAATTGCGTGTTGGAAAGGATGACCTTTACAGAGACATGGAAGTTGGAGGGATGATGAATCTGGAGCATGAATTGCCTTCTTCCCTCTTATTTCTCAATGTGATGGTGACGTGCGTAGCCAGACGACTGAGAGTCAAGTGTGGAAATTTGCCTCTTTGCCACTGATTTTGTCTCAGGTGTCATATAGTCACGAGGTGCTTAATGACAGGGGCACATTCTGAGATGGACACTAATAGGTCTGCACAAACATAGAATGTACTTACCCAAACTAAGATGGCTGTGCCGTCACTAGGGGATATGATTCTGTGTGGCCACAATCCTGTATGACATTCTTGACTGAAGCATCTGGGCAGCACATGACTTTAATTACAGTTTCTAGGTTACCTCAGGGTATGAGTAAACAGCATCTCTCTACAGTTGAGTGTCTCAAACATAATAAGCTCACATTATTTACAACTGACACCAATTACTGAATTCCTTATGGTAGAATAGTGCCTCATTATGTGTTCATGTCACTATATGTGAGTAAGTGATATTAACTTACCTACCTAGACTTTTTTCTTTGTGGCATTTGTAACAGTTGGGAGAGTATTTAGTTTTGGTGTGGTGTTGGGCACATCCATTATAAACTACTATTTTGGGTTAGAAAGCTCCAATTTTTGGGGGGGAGAGGCAGAAAATTTGTCTAAGAAAATACTTTAAAAATTTAAGGATGCAGTTTAAAGAATATAGGAAAACTGAATAATGAACACAGTCTTTCCAAAATATAGATGTAGCTATAAAAACAAAAGATTTTTAACAACTGTTCAATTCCAGCAAGTTATGATTCTATGACAGTGTTTTTTTAAAAATAGATTTGTGAAGACACAGATCAATATTTATTGTTCTATGCCGGTGATACACTGCATTGAGTGAGTTTGGTAGAGGGGGAAAAAGGACAGTAGAAATTGAAAATTTTAATAGCTTATTGAAACATTATAAATCATGTTTTTGCTGCAGGAAGAAGTCAGACAAAATGCTTGTATTCAGGATGCAAAGGAAACATCCAGAAAGTCACAGACACACACTTCTCTTTTTCTTCATAGATACGGTCTCTTTCTGAGAAATATTAATTGAATTGATTATATTTCCTATTTCATTTATTTGGGAGTGCATTGGGTTTTTTATCAAAAAGGGCCAGTGCAGAAGGGCTAATGATCTCCTGTTTTTAAAAAAGGTTATAGTTCATTTACTGTGCATCTGAAGATTATGTCTTCCTTCAATACACAAATTAATCAGGCATGAGCTAGGAGCTGAGGAGGCCAAGAAAACAAAACTAAAAATAACAAAGAGTTGTTATGGATTTTATTTTTTTTTCTTTTGTATGTGTGCAGCTTTGATAGTAAAACCTGATTATAGTTCACCCAGGCTTCATTGGGTCTGGATGCTCATCAGGGCTTGAAATCAATTTGGCACAGTGCCTTGGTAACTGTCGGAGGTGAATCACAGAGGAACTGCAAACGAAGTGACTCACCATCCTGCAGAGTAATGACAAAGGAAAGGAACGGTTTCATGTAAATTACAAACCGATAATTCACCAGCATCCTGCAAATTCTTGGGCCTGCATATCCCTTTTAAGTTTTAAAGTATTTTTTTTTTTATTATTAACCTAAAAACCTTCCTTTTCTATGTATTTGGGAAGCTGTCAGACACATGTTAACCACTCCAGGTTTTAGGGAATTCCATCACTTTGACACTGTTGAATTTAAATCCCATACCTTTTTCCCAGACATGAGTAAAGAAAGTAATCAAACCTCTGTCTAGTTTGCTAGCCTCATCTAGGCTAAAATATCAGTTTTGGGTACTGTGCATTAGTTGTGGGTCCAAGGAGGCAGAAGTGCTTGTCTTAGTGCTGACTCCCTGGACAAGAAAGTAGAATCTATGCAGGTTTGATTTAGTGCTTTGTAGTTCTAGAGGGAACATGATTAGGGTACTAGGAGGTTCTCACACTGTTTTCACCATTTAAATTACTCCAGGACACAGTATTCATATAATGGCAGAATATGTGAAGAGGTGTCAGGGTGCAAATTCCCCCTTAAATACTAATTTGTCTGCTCTCCATGTAAGCCTTTGTACTCATTGTATATTTTCTGCCAGAATGTTTAGGAACAAATAGTCTACCTACATTTCTTTGAATATTGGAGGTCAACCGTGTGAGGGATTTTCCTATGCCCATCCTAAGAACATCTATATAGTCCCCTCCTCCCTAGACAGGCTACTTGGAAACTAAATCAAGATTTTTTTTTTTCAGACTACTTGGTCTCCTGTAGAGATTTTGTTTTTTTAAAGGAACTTACACATTTTTTGCACTTCCCTTGCAGGAAATCGATACTTTGTCGCGTGGAGATGAGTCATTGGTGTTTGAGAACTGCAGAACCTGGGACCGATCTCCTGTCAGGAGCCTGGTAAACCAGACATTCCTGTCCCATCGCTCTCACCTCCTTCCCCCTCAGACTCACTCCAGTTATGGCTTTCAGGAGGCAAGTGAAAAACTTCGTGAAAAATTACTCAGAGGCGGAAATAAAAGTCAGAGAAGCAACTTCCAATGACCCCTGGGGTCCGTCTAGCTCGCTGATGTTAGCTATCAGTGACATGACGTTCAACGCGGTCTCCCTCTCAGAGATCATGCACATGTTGTGGCAACGACTCGGGGATCATGGGAGGAACTGGCGCCACGTGTACAAATCCCTCGCCCTGATGGACTACCTCATCAAGAATGGCTCCAAGAAAGTTAGTCTTTGTTGCAGAGAGGGCTTGTGTAACCTTCAAATGCTAAAAGATTTCCAACACGTAGACGAAGCTGGAAAAGACCAAGGTAACAGTTTGTAAAAAAATTAGACAGCGTGCCCGTGAAGACAGGAGTGCCAGGCAGACTGCTTAAACCCTGAACTGGAGCGAGGTGGCTCTTGATCTTGAGAGTGTCTTGTTACGTAGTCTAGGCTGTCCTGAGCTTGCCCTCCCGCCCTGACCTCCCACGTGCTAGGATAACAGGTACACACCGTCACACTGGGCTTGAACGGTTGTTCTTAAATGTCCCCGCCACCTTCCTGCTTGACAGTCTGGTTCTCATTTCTGTCCCCTGTGTTGACTGTGGCACTTGGGGGAACTGTGTTTGCTCAAAACACACTGACCCAGTGACACCTCACAGAAGAGCAAATGGAAGGAGGTGGCATGGCCGTTTGTACATTGATGCCACTGTAATTCGTAATTATGATTAGATTGGAATGTAGTCATAAATTAGACAAGTGTTTCCAGGGACTCTGGAACCTTCAGAGGCTATTGAGATGGACGTACTTAACAGAAATTCGGGCCGTAAACTAACTCTGGGTGTGGAGAGATGACGTAGGAAAGGCTGTAGAGAGTATTGAAGTGGATTGGTGCCAAATTATTTGCAAAGGTGAAGAGCAGTGTTCTTTTCCTTTGCGCTGGAAATGGGAAGTTATAATTTATGTTTAAAGTGACAGGTTTTAAATCGTGAGAGGAGAATAAAGTTCACTATATTCTCTATGGTTACTGCAGTTTAAAACTACATTTTTTAAAATACAAAAATTAGTTTCTACTTTTCCTTCTCCATCTACATGAATGATATCTCTATTTACTAACATCAGTGAGGTACATTTGCTACAAGTGGCAGCCAGTACTGATAATGTTCATAGTTTATATGTGTCACACAGTTCTGTAGGTTTTGGAAGGGTATAATGTCCTCTGTCTACCACCTAGTGTTAAACAGGGCCCTTTCACTTCCCACCCTCATCCTCTTAGCCTGGGTACCGCTGGTCTTTATAGTCCTACCTTTTCCAGATGCCATGAGCTTAGACTCCTAAAACTTCTTTAGAGTTGTTTCTTTCACTGGCAGTATACCCGAGAGTTCCTCCATATCTTTCCATAGCTCGAGAGCTTGTTCCTTTTTTCTTTCCTCTTTATAAAAAGTTGTTTTGAAATATAAATCACATACCATACAAATTACACACTTGGATATATACATACATATGTATAGTGTGTTTTTATGTAAGTTATGTATAATATATAATTATAAGGTTATTATATTATTTTAAAATATTAAAAATCCATTATTTGAAATGATACACACACACACACACATATTATTTGTTCGTTAGTACTGATTTTTTGGGTCAGAATCTCCTGTGGACTTGAGTTTATTAAGTAGCTGAGTTGAGTTGACCTTGAACTCTCACTCTTCCTGCACCCACCTCCCAAGGGCTGGGATTAGTGGTGTGTGCTACCATGCCAGGCTCATGTGTAAGTGTGCAGTTTGGTGGCATTAATTACATTTACTGTGTTGTGAAGCCATTGCCACTCTTGTTTAAACCTTTTTTTAAAGTCACACTGTCAACACTAAGGAATAACTCCTCATTCCCACACCACTAAGCTTCTACTTTCTATCTTGATTAGCTTGACTGTTAAGTCCACTCATGTGTAAGTGGAATTTTATTGTATTTTTCCTTTCCATCAGGTTTATTTCTCTCACTCTCCGGTCCTTGAGGCTCATCCATGTGGTAGGATGAATCAGAACTCCATTCTTTTCTGGCTGAATAACACTTTATATTCTGTGCTCACCACATTCAAACGAATCTGTTCATCTGTTGATAGACTTGTGGGGTGGTTCTACTTGTGAGCTCTTGTGAATAATGCTGCAGTGAACACGGTGTGTGTCAGCTCAGGCCTCTGCTGTCAGTTCTTTGGGGTGTGTACAAAACAGTAGAATTGCTACAACACATGCTAATGTCAGTGTTTAGTCTTTGGAGGAACTGCTGAATCTTTCCAGAGTGACTGAACCGTCTTACATTCCCGTCAGCAGTGCAAGAGGGTTTCATTTTTGCTGTATCCTTGCTAACACTTGTTTTGTCCATCTTAAAACTATGGTTAATGGTAGACAGAAGTTTTCCTGTGACCAGCAGCCCTTTGGTCCCAGATAAACCCACAGAGGCTTAGATTAATCACAAGCGGTTTGGTCTATGGACCAGGTGGCAGCTTGCAGCGTCTCCTCTGACCCTGTCTTTTCTCTCCCTCTATCTATCTCTCTTGGATTTCCTGCCTGGCTATAACCTGTCTTACCATAGGCCAAAGCAGCTTCTTTATTAACCAGTGGTTGCAACACATAATCACAGCATACAGAAAGACCATCCCACAGCACTTAATCTTGCTGGATATGAAGTCGGACCTTGCTGTGCTTTTGATTTACATTTTCCTAAGAATCATGAGCTCAAGCACCATGTCCTTGCTGGAGATATATCTGTTGTCTTTTAGAAATATCTTTTCAAGTCCATTGTCTGTTTTCAAATGAGTTCCTTTATTGTTGAGTTTTGAAAGTTATTTATATGTTCTGGGTACAAGAACCTTACCAGATAGGTGGCTTAAAAGTGTCTTCTGCTATTCTGTAGGTTGTCTCTTTGTTTTCTTGATGTGTGTCCTCTGATGTACAAAAGTTTATTGTTATTTTAAAACAGAGTTTTGCTATGTATCCCTAGCTGACCTGGAACTTTGCTGTGTAGATCAGGCTGGCCCTGTACTCACAGAGATCCACCTGTCTCTGCCTCCCTAGTTCTGGGATTAAATATGTGCACAACCACATCTATCTAAAAGTTTTCAATTTTGATAAAGTCCAATGTATCTATTTTTCATTTTGTTGCTTTACTTTACATATCATATATAAAACAAATTATTGTCAAATACTTGCTGGAGGAAGTGTGTCACTGGGGGAAGGCTTTAAGGGCTTAAGGCCACACCCTTTGTCCAGTTAATTCTCTCTGCTTCCTGCATGTGGTCGAGGATGTGAGTTCTCAGCTTCCTGCTCTTCCCTGTGCTTGCTGCCGTGTTTCC